CATGTTTCTATAGAAAATACACCTAAACGCTGTATTAAAATCTGAGCGTGTTACCGATCGGTATTTCCACCCTTAATCAAACGGAAGGGCAACGAGAAGCGATTTAGAAGAATCGGGAAATTTTATATTAGATTATTCTTCATTTCCAAAATTTGTATCGTCGTGGAGAACAGAAGATTTATAACGTTTCGAAGAAAATAACGAATTGCTCTTAATCTACAGGGTGAAAATGAATTACAAAGTATCCCTCAGTTTCTCGAGGTTTTGGGAATTTCGTGAAGATGATAGAAGAACGTATTCTATTTTTCGCATCGTATGGAAACATGTGGCAGCAGGTCACAGATGCAGGTTGCACTTTCGACTCGACCCAAGTAAAATCACATAATCCGTGTACTGTATAGCAGCTGCAAAACCCAAGAGAGCAGCTTTCCAATTTATTTTCCGTTACTTGCATTTTCCCTTCACATTTCCCTTTATGCATAAAGGGAAAAAGAACGGATTACGTGGCATGGCGCCTCGGAATGATGCAAACAACGATTAAAGCTACGAGGAATGGAAAAGTAAAAAATAACGCATCGCTGATTATTCGAAGACGATGCATGGAATATAAATTCCATTGCGGTATTTAATCGTTACCATTTGTTCTATTTTATTTCCTATTCTCTCATTTTCTCGAAGTAATCTCGAAGTAAGAACAGATCTCCTAGTTTTTAAATATCGCAAACGATATTCGTTTTAAATCGACGTTCTTAGTTTTATGAAGAAATATTTATGATAAAAGCTTTCGAAGATAGAAACAAAATTTCAAACGTATGTTTAATGCAATTCAATTGCAATGTAAATTATCGTGTTTTCACGTAAGAAGAGATGCAGCATGGAAAATAATATATTACAGCGTATTATTGAAAAACGAATCATACAGGATGTTTAAAAGAAGCGTTTACTAGGTAAGTACCGAACAAAATTGGGTCGAGTTATCGGAAATGGGATAAAAAGTATGATAAAAGAACTGCCGAGAAGATAAAACGTAAAAACATATAAATGCATCAGACGTAAGAGGAAAAGATATAACACATATTAGAATTTATATAAAGACGACATTTTTACGCACGCATAATTACACGTTGCAATTGTACACGATTTAATACTAGAATTCGATATCGCTTTGTTTGATATTTTAAAAGCTGCATTTACCGATTTAATTACAAGGATAAGTATTAAATTAAAAAGAAAGAAGATGAAATAAAATGAATTACATACATTGGTAATACTAAGAGCATCGAAAAGTATATATGCAAATAATATCCAAAGAAAGAGGAATTTCGAAAAATTCGAAAATCTGATATTTCCTAATAAATTAGAAATTAATATTAAACGATTACGAACAAAGAGACGTTCATAATCCGGTTATAATCAGCATTTAAAGATATCGTACTCCATTTAAAAATATAAATATTCGTAAATTTCAGGGACGAGGATAATCACTGTTTGCACAATTGGAAGCTGGAATTTTTATAATCCAACGATTTCGCGTAACGTTAAACGAACAAGGCACGATGTATCCTTTAAATTTTATTCGGGAAAACAGCTGAGTGAAAACAGTATTGCAGTCACGTATCACGTATTTATCGTCCATTGACACATTGCTGGAAGGAAATGGAACTAGCGTTAACCGTTGAATCGTAAGGTGAAAAAAACGAAGGAGACGATGATAAACTTGCCAGTGAAGGTATTTTAAATGGACATCGTTTACACTTGCACGTTAGAACGGAGATAAGTACAAGAAGCTGATAATAACGGTGAAAAAGATCGGACAAATATTTCCCATATATTTGCTTTTTCTACGCAAGTTAGAGGAGCGTTTATAATATCCTGTGGCTAAGTTTCCTTTCCATACGTCTCTAAGGACGCCCCCATTAAACGGTGGACAGGGGTAATCGAATAGTTCTAAGCTACCGGAGGGTCGGAATAGGCGTTCTAAAATTGGGAGGGGTACGTAGGGGAACACGAAAACCGGATGGCACGCTGAAATGTAGTCGACTATATTCTGAATTCATCCTCCATTTCGGAACATAATTTTTATTTCGATAAAAATATTACATTCCCACTGACTTATTTCTCGATTAACCGTAGCAAGAAATCGGACGATTTCTCGATTAATTTATCGCATCCCCCGATGGCGTCTGAGATTTCCGATAGATTGAAAAAATAATTAGGGAAAATAAGATGGAAATCTTCGGAATAATCGCAATCGTATATTCCTCTTCGCATCGCGAGCAATTTCTGGGAAATACGCGTACGCTACGACGTTATAGATCTAAGGAAGATCGTAATTATTATTTTATTAATAAACTAGCTAGATCTGTCCTTCCGTTTCCCGCATCTACGGCCAATTATCGGAAAAACGGCAATTATGGCTAATTAATCGTTCCTCGCGAAAGGCAGGTGAATGAAAGCAACATGGACGCAGTTTCTTCCTTTTCCAACCTCTTACCCTGAGCACCCTGACCCTGGGCACATAGGCAGCTGTCTCACTCCACCCCTTTGTAGGCATGGCACTGCTGCTCTAACGCAAGAACGGATTTGTCTATCCCTGCACGGTATGCACGGTGTAGTATCGCAAGGGCATCGAGAATTATCGACAGAAAATTTTTCATCCCTTTCTTCCCGATCAACGACAACCCCCGGTTATCCAGCAAACCGATCCACTTGTTCGATCCAACTGGAAAGTATCTCCATATCGTTATATGCCATGGAATTATTTCGCAAAATAATGGAAATACGCTAGGACACGATTATTTAAACGGACAGAATCAACTGCTATTTAATCAACGTAAATGCTCGTACACGATATACGGTATATACGGAGAATGGTGGTCGAGGTAAAAATTTCAACGTCGGATCGTTGGTCGAGTGGTTGAACGAGGCTCGTCTATTAAACGAACACGGAAAGATCTGCAACGGAGGCAGAAGAATAGAGAGCGGCGTTAGAGGAGCAGAGGCAGAGAACGTAGGTTACGAATAGTTGCAGAGAAATCACCTAGTCGTCTATATAAATGCAAATCGGACGCGAAGATACGGATCTTCGATTCATTCGCTGGTCCCATCATTCCCAGCGGCGCTTAGCGAGAAAAAAATTCGGGATAGATTGGTAGAAGGATGTTTCAATATGAATACCAACGGCGACGCAGGAGCAAGGAACTCGTTAACCGTGCTACCGTTCGCCGAAAACACCCGGTAGATTTCTGCAGGAACCGAAGGCGCGCTACGGTGAGAAAGAATAAGGAAACGACGGCGGAAAGGCGGGAGAAAGAGAGAGACAGGGCGCGTGACGACGCTCACACGCGCGCACCGACGGCGCGTGCGTACGTACGGTTTTCTACTCGCGTACACGCATGCTCGTGTGCGTGCACGCAACCTGAACGAGCGAGGAGAACGCATGCACGCGAAAGCGAACGTGCACGCACGCAGACAGGCGCGTTGCCGGCTGCGAAAACCGGCGTGCGAAAATTGACCAATGGAGAGCAGAGGCGGGAGTCGGTGGGGCAGCCACGTGGTGCCGCGCTGACCAATGCGAGTGGAGGCGCTCGCGAATTTCGAGTCGGTTTCCCGCTTAGCGCTGGTGAGCTTCTAGTTGCTAGAGCAAGACGGACGACAAGAGGGAAAAAAAAAAGAGCGAGAAAGTGCACGCACGAGCAAGGAGAGACGGGAAGGTTATACGGCTGGTAAAAAGGAGCGAGGAAGAAGGAGGAGAGAAAAAAAAGAGAAGAGTGACGAGTTTGCATCGCATTGCCCCCCAGGACACGCGAAAGAGCGAAGGAGAGGAGAGAGAAAGGGCGAGGGAGAAAGAGCGAAGCGGCGAGGAGGAGAGAGAGAAAGAAAATGCCGAATGAGAGAGCCCCTCAGACGTCGTGTCGTGGTCTAGCCAAAGAGACAAGAGCCTGGTAGGAAGGTGCGTCGTCGTCGTCGTCGCAACGAGAGGAGAGGAAAGAAAGAGAAAGAAGGAGAGATAGAAAGAAAGAGAGGGAGTGAGAGAGAGGAGTCGCTGGGCACACGGTGAATCGTCAAGAGAACGGTCAACGCGCGTCCTTTAACCTTAAAAAAGTTGAAGAGTCGTTTCTGAGAAGACACGGTCGTGGTCGTAGTCCGCCTGATCGGTCGTCGCAGTCATCCTCGTCGGTTTGTATGATCGAGCTGGCTCGAGAGACATCCATTGCCACCGGAAACACGCCGAGTCTGTGTACTACCGGTGCCGAGTCGACGTGACAGAGAGTCGTTGTACCTCGAAGCGAGCGGGAAATAGACAGCGGTTGCAGAGGAAAGGAAGAAAGGAGAAAACAAAAGACAGTACAGCCAGGAACGCTTGGAAGATCGTTCAAGAAGTTACGAAAAACCTCCTGTGTCCCTTTCGTTTTTTGGTGTGCAAGCGCGAAAAATCACGCCGAGTATCACGCGAGAAAGACAATCGTGTTCGCCGAAACGTTAACATAATAACCAGAGAAAAAGAGAGAAAGGAGAAAAAAAGAGAAGCCACGGAAAAGACCCTGACGAAAGCGCGCTCTCGTGTTCGTTTCTTCCTGCGTGATAACAGGATTTTTGCAACATCGTCGTCTACGTCGTCTACGTCGTCTACGTCGTCTACGTCGTCTACGTCGTCTGCGTCGCGTACGTGTATTCGTGGTGTCCTGTACCGGGGATACCAGTTACGATCCTCGACGTGCCGTAAACGTGCGGTGATCGTGTGATTGTCGAGTTTGTCGAGCTACGGTTTTCATCGGTGTACTCCGTTTCGGGTCTCGTGCGTGCGAAATACTCGGTCGTCCACCGTTTTCGCGTCGTGATCATCATCATCATCATCCTCGTTGACGTGTCGTGGACAACGCGCATCGTCAGCGACCGCTTCGTCCGCGTGCCACTGGGCTGTAAATTTTTCCAACCACGTGACCGAGAGTTATCTCGGGAAAAGCATCACCATAGCATCCAAGAGCGAACCAACCACCATGTCCAAGCTCTACGTGGGCAATCTACCGTCGGATTGTAACGAGAGTGCGCTCAGGCAGCTCTTTCAGGATCATAATTTGTCGTGTACCACGATCCTGGTGAAACGAGGCGGTTACGCGTTCGTTGACTGTACCGATCAGTCCGTAGCGGATCGTGCCATCGACAAACTTAACGGTGAGTTCAGAATCAACGAATGAGATAATGCTGGATAGATCTCGCTTCGCTATGTCGAGTCCCTATCGGCTGTTGCTACGCTGATAGCGGACGTCTTGTAAAATACTGCTATTACTATGCTAATATGTCGCTACGTTTACTGCTGCTGCTGCTATTATCACAGGGTCTGCTGTCACCTTCCATTCGCTAACGCCGAGAAGAGAAACTTCCCGAGGGGCAATACACGGACCGTGGTGGAGACTTTGTCACTAATTTAAACATTGCAAACTGCTTTTATCGCTTTACGTAACTCTAGGTACGGCCTTTACCATCGGCAGACAGGAAGACCGACTTGGTTTTGTACAAAGTCTCTCGTATATTTACGCGTGCAACAAGTTTCGTCTACCTGTACGATCCGTTTGTCACGCTTCTACACGCTTTTCCACTATTTTGTAAGATATCTTTCAGTAGAAATATATGAACGTTTGCACGCTTGTACATATGCTTTACACGATTTGCTGCTTACATTTACTCCTTTCCCTGCCTCGATCGAAAGATCGGTATCCTGTATATAGTCACCCGTACCACCCACGCAATTATGTATATACATATTTATTATTATCGCTATGTATACGATGTATCACCATGTATCACGATGCGTATTTTCTACCATAACCTATGTACGCGCGAATAACAGGCAACTTCGCCGTGTCGTCCGGTGAATCGATCGTCATTTGTGTTCGTTAAAACGAAAGGACAATCGCGACACGTTGTCGATCGTTCGACTTTCCTCGATTCACTGGAATCGCTATAGCGTAGGAAAACGCTGCCAAAGCGAAGAAACGAATCCAACGCGACCTGTCCGTTCCTGTCTCTATCGCGATTTCCCTTCGGAACGTTCCTCAATGAGAAAACGTTTTATGAATGACCGCTTGGAACGAACGAACCGCTGTGAATTATCTATCCGACTGAGAACCCCTGAACGGCGACCTCGAAAATACGTCGGTGAAAAAAGTACGTCTTCTTCCCATTTCCATCGATCGTTTTATATCGAAAATACGGCTTAACGCGACTCGCGATATCGAGCATACATTCACGCGATTACCAGACCACATGCCGCATTCTCGTAATTACGCAAAGATTATCGTCCGAACGCATAATGCTGTTCAAATTCCGCTTAAAAACGGCGCGAGAGATCGCGAAGCTACTGGTGCGACGAGCGCTCGTGTCGTGTGGAAAACTTATCCACGTGGTGGAGAGGCGCACGCATCGGCAAGATGGCGGAGCCGGTTATACCGGCAAGGTCACGCGTGTGGGTTTCGCCTTTGAGATAAGTTTCTGATAATCGCTCGCGTCGCTGCCAACGTGTACCGTGGTTGATCGATACGATTACTAGCTTTCCTCTATGCTTGCCAATGGTAATTCGAGCATTCGAAAAGGACCGCGATACAATCGCGCGACTAGATAAGGGAACCGCTCGATCGCACCGATTAGAATCGAATTATCGTCGAACGAAGAGAATTTACCGTGGGTAAATCCGCGTAAATGAAATTTCACTAACGGATCCGTGCTCTGTCGCCCGTCAAAGACGTAGCGAAGTTGCAGCGAGTGATCAATTAAAGCCATTGGCCCACTGCAGTAGTCAACGTAGCTACTCTTTCGTCGTTCGAGTCGACCTCGCGTAACTTGGATAATTATTTTCGCTTTCGCCACGAGGAAAATCCTGACCCTCCGCGAATTTCCACTTTCGTCTGGGAAAGTTAGATCGATACTCGACTAGGGACGACGACTCACGCCTGTGCACGTCGGCGATTCTCCCGCCCAAAAAACGTGGTCAAGGTCGTGTCTGTACGCGTGACGTATGGTTCCCCACTTGCTCGATGCGAGGTTAAAATTTACATCGTGAAATACCGCCAACTTCATCTCAACGCGGCCATAGAAATCGGTTAGTCACACTCGTCGTATACGACGGCCATGCTAATCGAGTAAATCCAGATCGTAAATTTCGTTGATGACTCCGTGAGTGACGTGTACACGGTACATGTACGTGATTCGCTTTACGGACGTGCACCTTTCGTCGATTTAGTTCAGACTTTTGTCGAACGTTAAAGGGACGGGATAATAACGTGTGTCGGTTTCGCGTGGGTATTCCGGAAGTGCGTTTCGAATCGTCTGGTCGACGCTGGATAACGAGATCGTTTCGTTCGTACGCGTAATCTCCAGGCAATTTGTTTTCGCGTCGAACGTTCGCAAGGCGAATCACTGTCACGTTCGTGACAGACCCTTACGTGCGGAGATACTAATCGACGCGTAATATTCGCTTCGCAACGCCGAAATCTGTTTGCTCTTTCCAAGCGTTCCCCCCTTTATTATCCTTAAACGATCGCCTTTTAACCATTCCTTCCGTATATACGTATACACTCGATACGGATGTAACGAAAATGCGAGAAAAACATGGGAAAAATGTGAGAAAAATTGATTTCGGGTGACGAAAAATGTTAAAATTGCTCGAAATATTCGAATTCCCAGGAAGTACGGGACGCGAGCAGTTGAGAAAATTTGGAATATAATGGCGGGCAAAAATGTAGCAAAGAATACGAAGAGAACGGTCGGCTTGCTTAGAAGCCGGGCTGCAAGAAAGAGGCGCGGTACGAACATTGGAGCGATTCATAGGGAATAGTCTCTCCCTCTATTTCGTTAGCAATACAGAAGGCTCAGTCGTTGCTCTGCAGCAGCGGTACATATGTATGCGGGGCCGATCCTTGGATACAATACCGTGTGCGGAGAACGTTACCGCTGAGTACAGAACTAGTTTGGTGGGTTGTGTTACGTTTTAGACCAACTAAACTAAGGCTAGTCGCGGCTAAACTACACGATACTACAAGCATCGATATTAATTCACCGAGAACCATACCTCGTCCGCCATTTAATGCCTTCATTTTGTCCGAGTCATGAGAACGTCGCGATTAACTACGAAAACCTCTTTATCTCTCCAGCCAAGAATAAAGAAAAAAAAGATTCTTTTTTAAAAATTCGACCATCGGTCGAATTTGGTTATTAAGATTTTTTAAAACTTTCCGTCGACATTTCTCCAACACGAATATCGTGAGAATAAAAGTTTCATGGGATCGGCTAGCTCGCGAGATCGAATTATATTTTCCGTGTTCAAGGCTGGTGAATCACGCGTGTCTAACGTTGATCAGCATGGCTAAAAGAGAGGAAAAGAATGTATATTTTTAATCGCAGCTTTCCAGTTGTTCATGGCTCGGTCAGCTTGATTTGTCGCGTGCCTGCTCGAGACCACCTGCCCTCGAAAAAAGTTACCTGTTAACAGTGCACCGGTAACCGACACTGATGGAACTTTACGATTCGGTTTCTCCTCGGGCACGGCGAACCTCGGGGTTGATAATAATATCGATCGAAATTAAAGGAAAATAATCCTATGTCAACACGCTCGATCCTATTACGATAAGGAAAAATTTCTCTAGATCGTGTCAAACGTTATTGCTGTTGCTATCCGTTTTCCAATCTCATCTTATCGATCTACGACTCGCTCGGGATATGCACACTCGTAGCAGATAGCACGCGTCGAATAAAAACGATTAAACTTAATTACATCCTAGGCACCCCGTTGCTCTCGTACGCTTGAAAATCAAAAATGGCGGCGGCCAAACAACTCGAAACGGATTCTTGCTCCTCGTTAACGTTCGTCCAAGTCCAGCGTGTCGGCCATATGCATCGAACGTATCGTACCGGCTATTATCAGTCGGTATCGACTCCTATCATCGATGACTGCGAAGTCCGAAAGTTTTTATCTGGCAAAGCGTTCGAAGCAAAAGTAGGTTGTACTTGTTACTCGAAACTTAGATACAACGCGATATTTACTCTCCTGGAACTTATCCATTCCGTAGAATAGCGTAAAATCTCCCACACTCTCTCTCTCTCTCTCTGTAAAAAGTTCGCGTGTTTGAACGGTCTAGAAATTTCTTTACAGACGTAATTTCGTTTCGCGAGCCTGTTTGACATAATCCTCGCGTGGTGAGAGCATAGGTGAAAAGGGAAATTAGAAATCTCGTCTTTGCGAATGATTTCCGTTGGCTTCACGTCGATCGACTCGATTGGAGTAAGAAGTTGAGAACAACGGTGAAAAGAACTGGATTTAACGCCGACACGAATGTACGGCTTAAGCGCAAAAAGTGCTTGCGCGTCTGCAAGGAGGAAGTGCTATCTTTAGAGCGGCGAAAAGAGAGTGTGCGGTGTCTTCTTCTCGTCTTCTTTTTCGTCTAGCCATCCGCTTTCATTAACCGAACGTGTACGGTCCTGGGACCAGGGGCGAGAAAGCCATTGTGAGATTTCGACATGCTCGATACCTCGAAATGAATGAAACGTAACGACTGTTCGTGCTAACGTTCCTATCGGTCGCGCGTGTTTCGCGGCTTAATTAGCGGTGGCTTAACAGTCGATAAAATGCTCGCGTTGCACGGGAATTAATCGATCGTCGCCTTTCGCTCGACGAATTTTTCGGAATCTCGGCAACGATTAGAAAAGCGACAATTAAGGTTAAAAGACTGTACACACGTACGCGGAGAAAGAAGGAGACGCGCGTATCGGGGTCCGCGATATCGATAGGAAAGTAACGAGGTTACATGGAAGCGTAAAGAGAGCTGATAACAACGCGAACGTCTGTACACGAAATTATCCGCGGAGCGGAGCCTCTATTTCCAGTGTTTCTATATCGGCTTCGTCGACAATTCTCTATTTCTTCCTTGGCCTCCCACACGGCGGCCTTTCTTCTCTTTTCTATCTACATTGTCTTCGTCTTTCGTGGCCTCTGTTCGCTCGAGGAACCTTTGAAGACACGTGTTTGTTTTAGATACCAGGCCGTTGACTTCCCGGCAAATAACCGTGTTACCGCTACCCCGTGTATACGTGAAACCGTTCTGAACGAAATCTTTCTTATTATAACGCTCGCACCGGCTATCTCCTCGGTCGAAACTGTCCGCTCAACGTTTTCCCTTGTA